CTACACCATTGTCCACCTGATCATTCATGAGGCAATCGCTCGTCACAACCAATCTATTCGATTGATAGCCTTTGACATTCATTATTTTGCTAGTTCGTCCTTCTCTCAGTATCTTGACCTCAAAGTTAATCGGAGTTCCGATTTCTCCCGGTGAGAGGAAGTAAGTGTGTACCGAAGATGGCTTGGCATTAGCGAACAACTCAGCCGACAAGAGGGACAGCGATACCAGATGACCGCCGAATGCGGGATAAGAAGGAAAAGGCGACCACAACTCTGATGCGATAAAGGTATTGTCATCGTGTTTTATCAAATCAAAAAGCGGCATGTAGACGGGGTAATATTTTTTTATTAAATTAGCTGTGATACCATTATAAAAACAGGAGGCGCATTGAACATATATTGATGAGGCATGCTAACGAACCGCTACTCCTCTACTTTTTACATGTTGGGATAGTGTTCCTCCATGTTTATCAACCGGTAGTGCATCGTGTTACGAGTGCAGTACTTTTGGCGTTTTTTATGGAACTACGTTCTTTGATTGCCTCACATACCACACCACCCAAACGAACACGTTTTTCTAATTTGCAGGAAGTTTGTATTGCAGCCACTAACCTTTGGCACCAAGAAAAATGAACGTTTTAATCCGTGCGACAGCTGAGCACGCATTTTTGCTGCAGCAGAAAGGCATGCACCAACTATAAAAATGATCTCTACGCACGAATCATGACCTGTGTGCAACTCTCTACCTAGAAGCAGTATGATGAACCATTCCCATTGGTGTGGAAAGCCATATTCGGTTTTACATATAATTTTTGATAAGCATTCTGAAATGCATTCGCCATTCGTCTCACTCTGTGCGCGTCCATAAAAATATCACGCGGTGTTCCTCTCATTCTTTCCACAAAATGAGCGTTTTCTCCCGTAAGAACAATCCAACATTTCCATTTTTGATGCGCTACAAGAGGAACAGGTGTCGATACGCATTTTATTAACGCGGTCTATTCAACTTGTATGATCAGCAACGACAATTTTCTAAGATAGCAGAGGTATTACAATAAAACTCACACTTCTGGAATCGCTTGTCATGCATCTACTGGTGCATACCAACCGCAAAAATATCGCACTCGATCCACGAACAACGCGCACATTATTTTTTGTCCATACACCTCGTCTTCTCACAGCAGGAAACAACCTTTCATCCACGTTTTGTTTGTTTAATGTTGTACCTGTGCGATATCTCCTATATGAATGGGTTGTTCAGCCCTTGCAAACCGCAATAACACGTCACATCAAGGACAAGCACATCCATGGAAGATCATCACCGCATCTCAGTTACCAATCAATGTGCCAATCCATCTTGTAGTCTCGTTACAGCCATGTCCTTTTCTCTACGTGTGGTGCATCGTGCGCTCAAAAATACGCCAATTCCATTTCTGAAGAAGAACCACGCTATAAATGCCTTCCTACCCGCTAACCGTCATTTTTTTACCCAAAATACGTTTATTGCCTCTTTGCACAACATCACAATGCTATTCTCACTGTAATCAGTCGGAGAATAAACCACATGGGCTTAGCTCAAAAGAGTGACTCTGACAAACCGAAAAGTTCTTAAACCTAACTTTAATAGAATTATAGCTCTTGTTTGACAGCCTCGACCTTCTCCTTGATCTCGCTCTTAACATCCTCAATCTTCTTCTCAAGCTCCTTCTTCTCAGCCTCATCCTTGAGATCCTTCTCGGACACGTTCTGTCCAGTCTTGGTGAGATCAACATTCAATGAGCCGTTTGTTTTGATAAAATTAGTGAAATCCTCCTCCGTTCTGCTGAACTCCTTGTACTCGACCGGTTCATCCTTGCCTGCCGCGTATAACATTATCGTGGGGAACGCCTTGATGTTCACATCAGGTACGTCGTTCTCGTACAGATTAATGTATCCTACCTTCACCTTGCTGTTGTCCCTTGTTCTCTCAGCAAGTTTCTCGATCGTGGGCAAAAGCGAGATGCAGTGTGGACACGTCTCGGATCCGTATACAATAAAGACATCGCGCTTCTCATCACGCACAAAGTCATTATGCGTGGTACCAACAACCTTTATGAGATCCTTCTGCTCTTGAGGAACAGGCTCAGAACGAACAAAAGGCATCAAAAGGCCTTTCTCGTAATCGCTTAAAAACTGTGTGAGATTATCTTTGGTCACGTTCACCAGTCTGTGTTTCTTTCCTTCAACCAAGTGAACGAGAGCGGGCATCTGCTCCTCGTTGACTTTGAAGTGGTTCAGATCGGTCCTTCCCGGGATGTACTTCAGCATGCCGAACTTGTACTTGTCTCGCAGATCTGTCGCAATAGATTTGAGCTCATCCTTGAGTTGCTTGTCTTGCGAACCGGTGTAGAAGATGTAAAATGCAGGCAATTTGCTCTCATCGATGTGCCGTATACCCTCTGAGGTCAAGACAGATAGAACGGGTGCCATAACGGTACCGAATGAATGGTCCAACTTTGTTCTGTAGCTCATATTCTCAGTGGCATTGTATGCGTACACACCCGGATATGTGACATTGAGGCTCTTTGCCAATTTCTTATCGTTTGACATGAAATACGGGATGTCGTCCTCCATTACTTTCATGATCTGCTGCTTCTGCTCGTTCGTGATCTGATCGGCAAAGAAAACGAAGAAAGTTTTCTTGCCCGCTTCGATCTGCTCAATGGTAGACTCGTCCTTCTTCTTCTCCAGATCGGCGGCAATTTTCGTCAGCTTCGCATTTGAAATTTCCAATCGTGCTTTAAAACACTCTGTCATTTCAAGTACATCCTCCTTCTCAACCTGTATAGCAAGTCCTTTGTCCTCGATAACGGGCTTTTCATCGTTCGTCCGTTTGACATCTGCCGTATCCCTGAGGCTGTTCATCTCCTCATCGGAGAAGTCTCCCCTCACCGCCACACGCGCCATTACCAGCGATATGAATGCAAGTACCAACATTTTTCTCATCATGCAGGGGTTCATCCGTTTTTATTTATATTTTTTTCTTTTAATTTATGCGAGCATCAATTAATTAAAAAGGTGTCCCTGCATTGGTGCACCGCAACTTTTTCAATGTTTTTCACGTTTTTATCGCAAAAACACGAGCGCACTGCTGGCACACTCCTTCAACTATTCTCTTGCTACACCTTAAAGTCGTCAAACAGCCCTTTCAAGCACTACTCACACCAAAAACATTTATTCCACACCTTCTTCATGTGCCAAGGCATATCGCTCCGCGCAGTTAATGCTTTATGCAAACAAATTCGCTTAAATATCTTCAAACTACGCATAAACAAGTTCAATACTAGCATGACATGATCAACGTGCGAATACTACTGTTCCAAAACACAACCATGTTTGTGCATTCTACTATGCTACACTAAAACGCATAAGTTGCACACTGCTACATTCCTCGGAGTGTTCGCGTCTCCCTTGCAAATAACAAATTCAGCTACTATTTCTTTTTTCCGTCTCTTGGCGATACGCGCATTCATTCATCAAAATTTACTGTTCCATGCAGATGTGTGCTCAATGCCCTTTCGCTTCCTCCTCTGTCACAGGATGTACAAGAAATGCTATCCGATTTACCATACATTCCCTTTTTAGCCCAAGCAACCACGCATTATGCCGTATTCGTTGTAAAAACTTTTAATCAAACACGTGGCTCGAATCCACGAGCACCGCATTATTTTCTTGTTCATAATACGCACCACACATGCATCATTTCTTCGTTCCGGTACGGTTCTCGGCAAAGATTGAGCACTTGCTTGGAAAGAGCACGTAGCAAAATGTGAGTTGCGTTATCTGCGGCAACAAAAGAATAAAAATAAATTAATGCGGAGTAAGAGAGTGATGGAAACGTGGAAAAGAGTTTTTGCCTTGGAAATCGGTTTAATCATCACCTCACAATCACAACAAGTGGGCAAATTTCTTGGTGTGCTAAGCACCCGCCTTTAGCTCACGGTTCAAAATAAGTATTACAAGCGGAAACACACCAACACAATAATTTATTTCTTTGTGAAGCACGAATTGATTGACAATTAAATTTGATTGATGCTCAAGGAAATTATTCGTGCATCTAGCATGGAGGAGAACCGGTAATAAGGCTTTAAGTACCTATCACCAGTGATATTACTTGATCATACGATGCGTAACTGCCGATTCTTTCTTTTGATAGATGATCCTAATTTCCGATTACGAATTAATTCATAACCCATCCCAAAAAATGCATTTGCAGCAGAAAACATTTAGCGAACTGCTGGCACGATAATCGTTCAAGAAATGTTCTAAAAAATGAGAGGATAAGCAGCAGGTAAATTTACTGCTGTTGCAAGAAGATGCTCTATTTGCTGTCAGCATGGAAAGCTGATTATTCAAACGATGTTAACAGCGAAAAACTGCTTTATGCCCTTTTCTTCTGGCTATCGCTCACTTATCACACCACCAGCCGCACAATTTATCTAAATTTCTCATCCTCAAGCTAAAAACTCAATTTAATCTATTAAATTAAGGAATTTAAGGGTATCAAATGAGTAAGGGCTGGAAGTAATGTGTGTACAACGTTGGAATAAAATGATACCGTTGTGATTGCGTATTTGTGATATAAAATGTTATTTTTTATCATTTTATTTTAGTATTTTTATTTTAGTATTTTATTTTTATTTTGTATTTTAGTGTTTTAATTTTAGTGTTTTTCATCATTTTATTTTGCTCTATTTTCAATTCGCCTCAATCATTTATGCCCTATACCCTCCTTTAATTCTCTCGTTTTGTTTATTCCAAATCAAATAACCAATACAAACACGATTCTCATCTTTCCAATTAATTTTTAATTAAAAATACAGATCAACAGCATCTCACAAATAGCCTGTTCCTCACAAAATCGACTTTCGGTACACACACGTATCGTTTTCGCTGCTACTTCTCCCAGCACATATCGCGTACTTTTCATGTTTGCCCATACCGTGCCGTGTTTTGTCCGCAAACGTGTTGTGGTTGTGTTTTTGATTTCATACAAAAATTTATTACCCATATATTATCAACAATGCAGCACAACAATACTTTTAACAAGAAAACAAATAATTCTAATGAAAACAAAGGTAAACGGAACGGTGGTACGAGGAGCGTACACGCACGGCCGAACAGAAATAACGAGGAAAATAGTAAACAGGTACAAAACGAGCACTTGGACACGAATGGAACTAAAGTGCTAAAAAAATGGTAATAATACTGCGAGTACTGATGGTGGAGCAGCGAAAAGAGAGGTGAGTGACGGGTTATTCGGCGAAAAAATGAACGGAGCACGCGAAGAAGTGAATGGTATGCCCGTAGATGAAGAAGTGAATGACAGCACCATTCTCAATGAAACTATGCATAATAATATTTTGCGTAATCAGATTATGCATGGTGATCGTTCTAGAACAGAATTAAGAAATATAGAAAGTATAAATAGAAGCGGGCGCATCGATGAAAGGGTGTGTCTGAAGGTACGTGAAAGGGTGGTTCAGACTAAAACAGGGGATGGCAACCAGAATAAAACAGGGGACGATGCGGGTGGTTTATGTTATGAAGAGAGCGTTGATCCAAACGATAAGGGAAATAAGAATGGAGGAACCGAGAGGAAGGAGTGCGATGAGGGAACAAATAGGAAGAATACGAGACGAACAGCTAATAACAGAATAGGTGATAATAAACCGTTTTACGGTAACAGAGGCGGATACGCGGATGACGTACGCGATAACAGGGGCAGATATGATAGGGATGCGAGGAACAAGGGGAGTGGTTTAGATGAAAGTAGGAGAAAATATGACAGGAGCAGATGCTATGATGATGGTGTAAATTATAGTGATGGAAGTGCAGTGAGAAATACACGGCCATACAACGGTACGGACGGGCTGTCTGGTGGTAGAAGGGATGATACACGAAACGTAAAGGACGAGCATTTACACGGGTGCAAAAGTACGATGGATAGTTCATCTCTGGTCAATGATGGGGGGCGTAAGCCGAGGGATCGAAAGCCTTTTGTCGGCAGGGATGGAAGGAACGTAAACAGCAGATCGGAAATGGTTTCATCATCAAGTGGTGAGCGGGAAGGGACTGAAGCAGAGTATGGAACAATGGGAAGCACAAGCAAAGCAAGAAGTGACGAGTTGATCATGAACAAGGAAAGAGATTCGCAAATTGGTGGAAATACTGAGGTAGAACCCGGTAATTTTAAGAGAAATGTTAGTGAAACAGGAGAAGGTACGGGGGACACTGCTACGCTCTCAACGAGCACTTTTACATCGAGTTTGACCGACAGCCTGTCAAATAACGATGTGCCGACCAAATCAACGGAACAGAACCACAAAAACAGGATGATGAGGAAACTGTTCAAGAACCTGCAACTGGCCGAAGAGAAGTACGGCATCGATGTTCTAAAGGAGTACAAAAACATAAAAAGAAGCGATGATGTGAACGAGTTCAAGGAAATGACGTGGGATAGCCTGGGACTGGACAAGCGCATTATACAAGCACTAGACAGCTTGGGGTACAAGTATCCCTCACCGGTGCAGAAGCAGGTTCTGAGCACCAGCAGGAACAACCTTGTGGTCAGAGCAAAGAACGGAACGGGCAAGACGCTGGCGTACTTGCTTCCCATACTGAACAGCATTTTAAAATCGGAAGAGAACGAAAAGGTAAAAACGATTATTTTGGTTCCTACACGAGAACTTGCCATGCAGGTGGCAAAGGTGGCCAAAAGATTGGCAACACATTTTGATAAAAGCGCAGTTTTGATGCCATCGTACGGCGGATCGAATCTGTACGAGGACATAATACGAATCAAGGCCGGTATTGACGGCATCATAAGCACGCCTGGGCGTATTTTAGATCTGATAGAGCGGCAGGTGCTGCTGTTGGGCAGTGTAAACGATGTGATACTGGATGAAGCGGACAAGCTCCTATCGTTGGAGTACAAAGATACTTTGCGAAAGATACTGCGCAACATAAATTACAGAAAGAGCGTTTACAATCTAAGACTGTTCTCGGCAACGTTTCCTCTGCCTGTGAACGATTTTGTAGAGCGCAACATGAAGAACGTGCTGTTCATCAATCTGATGAAGGAGAGCTGTCTCTTGGCACTCAAGCAGTTCTACTGCTGTGTCAAAACGGAGTATAAGTTGCACTGCCTCATCACATTGCTACGCAAGGTGAAATACACACAAACAATCATTTTCTGTAATAGAACCAAAACAGCAGAACTGCTTGCCTATAGAATTACTGAACTGGGGTATTCGTGCTACTTCTTATCCGGTAAAATGACACAAGACGAGCGGAACACCATATTCTACTCGTTCACCAACCTAAAGATAAACATTTTGGTGTCCACCGATCTGACAACGCGTGGCATAGATGTGCCAGGCATTAACCTTGTTATAAATTTTGATTGGCCCAGAACAATAGAAAGCTACCTGCACAGGATAGGACGGGCGGGTAGGTTCGGAACTAAGGGTATCAGCATTAGCTTGGTAGGTGATGATGAGAGAAAGGAGGTTGTAAGGGTGGAGAGTGCTCTGAGCTGTGAGTTGTTGCCAGTGAGTGATCCAAGCTTTAACGAGTATTGCCGATGAGTGATCGGTTTTGTGGATGAGGATGAAGTAAAGGTGTTTTTATTTAGGTGGTTGTACGGTTGTGATAGGATTAGAGGGTTGTGATAGGATTGTACGTTGTAATAGGATTAGAGGGTTGTGATAGGATTGTACGTTGTGATAGGATTGTACGGTTGTGATAGGATTGTACGTTGTGATAGGATTGTACGGTTGTGATAGGATTGTACGGTTGTGATAGGATTGTACGGTTGTGATAGGATTGTACGGTTGTGATAGGATTGTACGGGGTTAGAGGATGGTATGGCATGGCTGATGTGGTATGTAATGCCGGTATTGGTTTTATACCAGGTATGGCATTGCACGAGATGGGCCGTACTAACGCAACCTTTGTTAATGGCACATTGATGAGATTAGTACGATATAAAAGGATACAGCGGTGTATTCCTGATCGCGATGCACAGCCTAATTTATCAAGCACACGTCACAACCTGCCTGGTGATAGATTAAGGTACAGCTTAGGTTTTTTACAAATGTACCATTCATAGCGAAAAGAATTTAATTCAGCGGCTCGCATACTTTACGTACCCACCAAGCGCTAGACAAGTGAATTATTGGTCAAGTATCGGTGAAGTACCCCAGAAATAGAACCGCAGCATTAATTAGCAGTGATGCGCGAGATAAATGCTAACATCACTGCTCCTCATAGAAATTAATATGAGGAGCGTTCCACCACTGATTACGTACCACCATGCCAACAGTAGCAACGTATCGTACCGAGTGGTGCTACATCGTGCGCACACCACCACTACACCAAAACAAATCATGTTTCATCCTCCGTTATAAACTCTCACCGCACAAACAAACCAATGATAACTCACTGCTCAATCACAACCAACATATTTACATTTGCCTTAAATATCTACCAACTGGCAGTGATACTTGCCAAGACGTACTACCGCTCAATTGTGATGACACCCCGTATGAAGGTATGTGCGTGTATGCACGTTGTTTATAACGTACTATCCGGTGTGTATGCTTTGTGTAGTGTGGTGATGGTTTGTTATGATGGGTTGTATTTTTTGAGGTACTGCTGTGAATATGTGCAGATGGTGATTGTGTTGTTGGTAGTTGAGGTGGGAAAGGAGAAGAGGGTTTTGGGAGAGAGAGGGATGAGTGGTAGTGTGGGAGGGGTGAGTGGTGGTCTGGGAGGGGTGAGTGGTGGTGTGGGAGGGGTGAGTGGTGGTCTGGGAAGAAATGTGAAGAAGAGCAAAGGTGTTAAAAATAGCAAAGGTGTTAAGAAGGGCATGAAAAGAGGATTGAAACAAAGTGATCAGCATTTAAAACAGAGTGGAGAGGTAGAACGTGGTGAGAACGCAAAGGATGATCAAGAATTGGTTATAAAGGTTGAAGGGAGGGCAAATAATGGAGAAGAAGCAATTGATGAGATCAAGGATGTGGTAGTTGATAGAACGGGCGGAGATGAAAATGTAAAGAGGATGCACCGTGAGGATGCGGAACGAGTGGTGGTACCGGGTACAGAGGAGGATGATGCAAGAATGGGCACTGCATTTGAGGACGGTATCAGCGCAATTAACAATTTTACGACCGAATCGTACGGTGTTGGCATTAGGAACGCGTTTACTGGTGGTGCTCACCGTTTTGATGGCACTACGTACGACAGCACGTACAGGAACAGCTCTGCACCCCATCATCACCCTGCACCGTACCGCACTGCACGTGCATCTACAACCGATCTACCACTCATACCGCTAACCTTCACCACAACAACATCCGTTCTGCTAAGCATTGCATGCATTTACTTCAAAAACTTACCAACGCTGCTCAACGTGGTCGCCAGCACACTCATCACATGCAACCTTTTATTCTTCCTGCTTCTCAACTGTGTGTACCGTGCCAGTGCTATGAATGCGCTCTCTACCGTGCTGTTCATCATTGCTGAGGTACTCAGTACTTTCATACAGGTCAAGGTGCTTAGAAAAAGCATCTTTCTTGATATCCTTACCTGCACTAACGTGTTTGCTATGGTAACACAGTTCAAGAGCGTTGAGCACGTGCTGTTTAGTGGATCGGAGAGAATACCGTTTTATACCGCGTTGATGCCTGAGAACTATGATGACTCGGCCCGTGGAAAGTAGAACGGTATTATCTTGTTAGAAAATGAGAAGGGGCATTGATGGAAGGGTTTGAGGGGGTATGTGGAATAGATAGGGCATTGATGGAAGGGTTTGAGGGGGTATGTGGAATAGATAGGGCATTGATGGAAGGGTTTGAGGGGGTATGTGGAATAGATAGGGCATTGATGGAAGGGTTTGAGGGGGTATGTGATACTATGACGGAGAATGAGGGTTAGAAAATAGGAACGATTTACTACGCTAGAGGATGCTAGGTTAGGGAATTAAACCGTTCACCAGCACGATAAAGAACAGCTTACGTTTGGGTTGGAGCAGAGGATAGCAAGGAGAGCTATCGCTGCATGCCAAGACCTGCTGGACCGTAGTAGAACTAAAACACGTTTTATGACGTTGATGGACCGCAGCACGATATAAGCACGGTTGCACAGTTCAAATACTGTGGAGAGTGGGGCACTACCGCGTCATAAAACGTAAATAGCACGGTGCTGTCAATTCCGCACTGGAAATAATTATTTGATGAAAAGAACGTACAAACCACTGGCAACACACCAAACGGCAGGTAAACCATGCTAATCACCGCTCTTTACACACAAACACGCCCTTAACATCTCCTAAACACACCACCTCATCATCAAAAACGTATGCCTGCATTTCGCCGTCCTCAACCTGCACCATTTCAAACCGATCACTCGCAAACATCGATCTATCGATGTGTACAAGGAAGGTGTGCGTGTAGACATCAAAAGGTACTTCACTGTTGCACTGCTCGGCATGTGCCCTGCTCATGTTCGTACCTACGTTTGTACCGCAGTTCATGCCAACGCTACGGCTCACATCCTTACGGCTGTGCTTTTCTGCTTGCTTCGCCCGCTGTGTCGTAACATGTGGGATAGCTGCCAATAAACGTTCTTTGTCCACCCCTTCATCCTCGTGCTGTTCCAACAGCGGTTCATCCTCGTTTTTACGCACCTTTGGTTCGAATACCATTTTAAGTTTTCCTCCACGTGTTCTTTCGCTCATGGGTGGTAAAAAGCTGCCCCTTATAAGGCACAAATATTTTTGTTCTACCACGGCGGGTACAAAACCTTGGCAGCGTGGCACCACGATGAGTGCATCCTAACAGGGCATTCAATTTAGGGGAATACTGCTGTGTTGGTGTATGTTTAAGGAGAAATGAACGGATGCGTATTCATGCTTTGGACATGGCAAGGTAGTGGTGTACGATCATTGTGCGGGTTCCTTCTTGCGTTGTGAGGGGACCAAAATTGGAGCGGTTCAAGTGCAAGAACTCGTTGTGCTTAGGATCGCATAATTTGTGAACAACGGTTTTGCTAAGCAGGGCTGTTGGTCTGAGTTGGTGCTTTTAATGTTACGGTGAAGAAGAAGTTGCGTGTTGGAATGAAGGGCAGTACCGGGAGAGCCTTAAGATTGGAGTGATTTGTAGGTTATTATCACAAGATGTGAGCATTAGTGCAAAGAAAGAAACGATCTACGTTCTACTCCATCTACGTTCTACCCCCTTTCTAACCACTCCAATCATTACTTACGAATCGTTCTGCTCCAAACCACTAATATTTATTTCACCACCCCAATCCCATCCCATGGACAAAGTAACAGGCACCTACAGCGCGCTGCTATCAGCAATTTCAAACTTTAAAAACCGTAACATACGTGCATACTTCAAAAGGAAGGCGTTTGACGAGTACCTGGAGTGTGTGAACGGTGTACGGCCGGTTGAGAAATATTTGAAGGACAATGCGGAGTTGAAGGGAGTGATGGACCGGCAGAGTGTTATCTACAATTATTATGAGGAGTAGGATGGAATGAGTGCATTAAATTAGATTTATGGACTGTTGCGTTTTTGTGGGTGGTACGGTGTGAATTGTTTTTGGCTCTCTGTGGTGCAGATTGTGATTATTTGCTGAGCTTTTATGCACTGCTATTTTATATTTTTATGCTACGTTGTATTTTGCTAGTGTAATTGTTCTTTATTCTTCTTGTTATTCAAAAACATGCGCAAATATTCTTCTTGTTGTTCAATCGCTCCCTTTCCTTTATTTTCTCTTCTCCTCTTCTCCTCTTCTCCTCTTCTCCTCTTCTCCTCTTCTCCTCTTCTCCTCTTCTCCTCTTCTCCTCTTCTCCTCTTCTCCTCTTCTCCTCTTCTCCTCTTCTCCTCTTCTCCTCTTCTCCTCTTCTCCTCTTCTCCTCTTCTCCTCTTCTCCTCTTCTCCTCTTCTCCTCTTCTCCTCTTCCTTTCTCTCCTTCCTTATTTTTTGTTACACACACCACAGTTCGCTCCTCGCACTGCCACACCCCCGATCAAACGCAATTTATTTCCAATTTTTTCCATCCCCATGGACACCCTCGGCCAAAACGCTATAAACGCGGGCAAGTCGTACGTAAACACCCGCATGCACACTTTTGCACCATCCATCCTCCGTCCATACTTCAAAGTGTCACCAAACTACGTGCTATCACGCATCCTTCTCCTGCTCTTTCCGTTCAGCACCTCACGATGGACCCTGTTCTCGCCGGACCTGTACGTGCCATTCGTATCGTACCAGTCCTTTCTGCTGGTCAAAGCGCTGTGCATCAAAAACAACAAACTGTTCGCGTATTACTTCACCAAAACGGTGGTGATTGAAGCACTGGTCATTGTTTTTGTGAAGGCGCTGTCTTTCTTCCTGGACATTGAGGTTATGGTGGTTAACTTGCTGGCAGTTTCGTTCCACAAGTACCTTGTGATGATGGTTGGGCTTGTCTGCGGTGCGATGAAGGTCTTTGTGTTCAGGATTGTTTGGCTGTACCTGATGGTTGCGCTCTTCGTGTTTTTTTGCCGGGGATTTAAATTTGTGATTGGATCGTGCGGTGTGAGAAGGAAGAGCGTGTATTTTTTGATGTTTGTGGTGTTTTTGGAGTGCTGTTACGTTGTTCTGTTGAGTTGACGGGTGAAGATGCTGCGATGAGAGGAAGAGTGGTAAAATAATAAAATGTAATTCTAAAAAATGGTGCAGGTACAGGCTCTATCCCATCGCAGATTGATCTGCAATAGGTGCTCACGCTATCAAATCGTTTTTCTGGTGAGGCTCTTTTCGTACCGTGCTCACACCTGCTGCTTTAATTACATTCAGCATTTTATCGCAGCTCACATTCACTCAGATAACGCTCTGGGATGGCGAATGCACCGCACGATATTTCGAGCACCGATAAAATGTAGTTTTTGGTGGCAGATAAGCGAGCACTCATTCGATGAATGAATGAATGAATGCCCGTAAAAATACGTATCGGTGCAGCTGAATGTCATTAAATTTACGTATCGTTGCCATAAATACTTAGAGGTGCAACATTCAACTCAAATTATGATTTATAATTCTCAGCAACAGCAAACTTGAAGTAAATAGCATCATCTACAAACAGCAACACGGCACGAATACCCCAGGATTACATAACCGCAATATTTTTGTGTTGTTAAACTGCAAAACTATAAATTTATGAAAAAGTTTTACCCCTGCGACGTCTGTACTTATCAGAATCATTTGTACAGTTCTTTCGCATTCCAAGTTCGTCTGAACTTGTACCCGACAGGGCCGGGATGACGAAACATGGTTACTGCAGGCTTGGACGATGACAGATGATTTGTCCTGTGCGGTGTCTTTCTGACTGGTCTTGTAAATAAATATTATTTGTTGACGTGTTTTGTGCACCGATCTTTTGTGCATTCTTTCTGGTTGACCTGGGCATTTCATTGCGGCTTTGAGTCCATGGTAGTTGGTGGTTGTCCGGCATGACAACGGACACGTATTGTTGTACGGCCATAATTCATGGTTCTTGCCTGCATGTGCTCGCTGGTCATCCTTGTAGAGCCCGGTACGTTGCACTGCGATTTAATCAACACGTTTTTGCATAAATGCACATTTCTTATTCATTCGATCAATTGCAGGGCTGCTCTGCGATTTGTAGCAAAATGTCTTTGATTGGGTAGCACAGCACATGCTATCGCTTATCAAGCGCAGCATTCGTTCAAATCTTCTCTTCTCATTGAAAAGAGTTATCCTAAGCAAGAAGTGTAAGTCTACCGAATAAATAATCGTAAGATCACAACTAAATACGAACTTTTGAACCATAACTGCTGCTTGAGGTGCTACTTGGTATGTTCTGATGGCATTTACATTGCATGCTAAGGAGATGGGCTGGTACTTCAGGACCGCAGGTCTCCAACCAGCAACAAATTCACGAACACTAGCCGATTTTAATTATTTGAACTTAAAAGCTTTGCACGCATGCATCTATCGTTCATTGCCTCTTTGTTTATGAGATGCAATCAACTTAACTATCATATCCGAACATACAACGAAGGCCTCATGCTCGTCCAATTCAAGCCTCATAGTTTTCGCCAATTCCAAACTTTCTTTCTCGCTGTCCACGAGTATTTTAAACAGCCTGAACCGATCAGACTCGTCGTAGTGCATGATAAACAAATTGAACTGCTTCGTGTTATCCGGCACGTCCTGCAGTATAAAATCAATCATACGGTCAATACGGCAGATTGTAAAGTTTCTGAATATCTTTGAAGCAATTCTTACCAGCAGAGTTTGCTTAGGAAGTATTTTTTGGCGTTGAATATCGCTATGGAATATACGGCACTCAGCAACCTTGCGGTAGTCTTTCACAAACGCTCGCAAAAACTTTTTGTAGTACGATTTATCGTTTGTGTTAGCGCTTAGGTTCCGTAACTCATCTTTTGACTCGAGTGCATCGAATTCGTACATAGGATAAGATACGTTGTCCTCGTCATTTAGTTTCACTGATGCAAGCGAACAGAAACACGAACCTATTGTTCCATCCATAAATTCATCTCTGGGAAGGTCTAAAGCATTAGCATACACCACTTCGGCAAGGTCGGTATATGCACGGTTGGCAGCACCAAGCAAAACGTACAATGCTGATATGGTAAGCATTATAAGAACGAGTGCGGATGCTGTGGATGCAATGCAAAATGTTTTGGTAGTTCTCTTCATACAGCTCAATATTTCTTTTTATTTATACTTTTTATACGAAAATACTACTTTTGACTTGAAAGGCCCTTTAAATGACAGATGATCACCTGTCATTATTAAAAATTTTTATCGTTGATACACTGCTCATCATTCATGAGCAATGAGCGTGGTGATTTGATATGAAAGCCTGTGCTTGGTATGATAGCAGGTTTATAGCACGGTTCTTGAATTATGGCAACGATACGAACAGAAAGGAGAAGCATTGTGCATCAAAGGATTTAACATGTGTTAAAGGCACGGTTCTTGAATTATGGCAACGATACGAACAGAAAGGAGAAGCGTTGTGCATCAAAGGATTTAACATATGTTAAAGGATCGTTTTACAATGGCACACTCGGACACAGCAACCGTACTGCATGCACCAAAATGCTTGTACTTGGTTTCGCAGATGCCGTATTACTTGGCAGGTAGTTTTTGTACTCCTTACGGTGTGTGGTATTCACCACCAAAAAATTGTGTTTTGATCGTTGATAGGATCGTTTGCCCATTAAAATATTATCCTTCGTTGATAAAACCATTTATGGTGGTTACCACATCTTTTTTTCAAATGAATTTATTCAAAATTTCTTATTTGATGCGATTGCCCCTTCAAATACTTTGATCAGAATCAGCTGCGTTCTCTTGTGCACTACCGTCCTGCTCACCATCCATTTTGAGATCTTTGTTCAAATTCGTTGGTTTTTCCTCTTCCCTAAACGACAGCGCCAGCATTTTTACGATAATATCCATGTAAATTGTTGTCGCCTCTCTTTCATCCGATTTTATTTTGTGAGTGTCCTGAAACACCGAAGTTTCGTTGTTTTCATCAACCAAGAATTTGTGGACACTAAGAAGGCCCGGCTCGTAGCACATGACAAATGCGTTGTACTGCTTCGGCTTTTCTGGGACCCTTGCGCCCAAAAAACCGAACAGACTGTCAATCTTACATACGGTATAGTTTTTAAAGAGCCTTGCTGCCAGTCGAACCAAACAGTCCTGTCGTTGAACTATTTTCTGCTCTGCCATTTGGTCCAACGGAATAAACACGTTCTCCGGTTCATTTTCCTCCCACTTTACGCATCTGCGAATCAACTCTTGGTAGTACACCTCGGCGCACTTGGTCTTGTCAGCGTTCTTTTCCGCTTTTTGGTAGTTTTTCCTGTTAACGAGACACTGAAGTATGATGATCGGCTCATCTCGCGCAGCCCTCTGTGATGTAAGGATCATGTAGTTGTCAGTTATTTTCTTTGCTATGTTCGTGCCATCACCGATAGCACTCATAAAATAGGATTGCATGGACTCATAGCGGTCCATGTATGCGTGGTTAGTGGTTTTAAGCAGATACCAAGAGAACAGAACCGGTCCAAATATGAGAATACTGCCCAGTGGTATTGCTATGGCCAATATACTAAGACATGATTTCTTCATGTTCTACAAAATGTGTTTGTATTTATACTTTTGCTTTTCGATAATCATTTTGCGGCTGATTATTTTCCAGAAATGAATGATTAAGGAGAATTTTTAACTTTGGTTCTGAAATACGCGAATGCTTGACCTGTGCCCGATTCCGCTGCTAAAGGCCGTTCTAGCTTTAAGCTCACAACGCAGCCCTGTGCCATCAAAATTGTTACGCGGAGTGGTTGTGCGTACGCGCCACTGCAACAAAATCAAACGGTACCGATCAAAGAAACCATTCCGCTGTAATTTATTCTGACATCTCACCGTGATATACCGCCCAAGCATCGATCACAATGCGTAATTAGCTAATTAAATCATTTAAAAATTTTTGCGAGCGCACCACTGAAAATGCAGGAATATCTCCGTCACCATACACCCAAAAAAGGAAATTAGCGACAAGCAAAAATTGAAAGTATAAACGACAGATTCTAGCGATTTGTGCACCACTAGCAGTTAATCACTGCAGTATTTGCTGCTTGTGCTCAAAAATACGTGCTATGATCCGCAATATTTGAGTGCAATCAAAAAATAGCAGAGCGGTAGACGTAAATAGATCAGCCCGTTTACTGCACCGTACAGGATTTGTGATGCCCGCTAATTCAACATATGCCGATGCAATGGTGTTTATAACCATGGCAGCTCCATTACGAACAAATAACACCGAAAAAAAGATAATTTCATCACAACCGCTTCGTGCACGGCTCACAACGAATAACAAGCTGTGACCAAAAAAATATTTTGCTATTCTAAATTAGCGATGGGCAGTTTGAAAAGGAGTGACGAGCAAAAATTACGTTTTGAATACAAAGAGAGGGTGCGGTGATGCAAGATGACCTGAGTGCGGAGTAAAGGATGAACAATCGTATTTTTGGTGGAGAGGTGTGAAGTAAAATTGCGGTTGTGCGATCGTATAGTACATGGCCTGGTGTGTTGAACGTAGAATTGTTACACGCCCGGTACAAACATCAAAATGAGATAAATTGGACGAATCCTAAAAATAATAATTTGTGCAATTTTGTAGGAATATTTGCTTTTCTATTTTTTACTTTTCTATTTTTCACTTTTTTCCTTACGATGCACTACCGATCAGTTAACAGTCCTGTCACGCTTGCAGAATCAAACCATTTACCTCATTTGCTAGACGAGGCACACCAAACCATGGAGCTGGTCGCAATGCGATGGAAAAGCGCAGTGACAGCATTTCTTGCTGTCTATTCTTCTACGTTACGTTGCTTCGCATATTACCGCCTGCCATCATAAAAAATACTTTTGGTACGTATTACCGCCCGTCATCATCAAAAATACTTTTGGTCCGTATTACCGCCCGTCATCATCAAAAATACTTTTGGTACGTATTACCGCCCGTCATCATCAAAAATACTTTTGGTACGTATTACCGCCCGTCATCATAAAAAATACTTTTGGTCCGTATTACCGCCTGCCAGCCACTCACCGTGTGATACTCCCCTCATCGTGCTACACCGCTACGTTTTGTTCATGCACTGCGCTTCTTCTCCCGTAAACGCTGCCGCCGTGCGCTTAAACCAACCAAATTTTTTACCCCTCATGTTAATTTCGGCCTTCAGAAATTTGTTTCTGAAAAAGCGGCTCACCGCAAATCTTTCCAGAAACGGCACGCAGGTGCTCACGGATGCCTTTCTGGACCTGGAGGGCACTACCATAGTTCTCCAAAAGGACACAAAAACGATGAAGTACCCGGTAGAGGAGATGCAGAGCACCACGCGAAGCGGCAACAAGCTCATGTTCAGCTACAAGGGCGCACAGATCGTGATAGAAAGCGTGTCTCTCAACGATGTATACACCGAGATACAGCCGCTTCTGCCCACCACGAAGGTGCACACCAAGAGCACGGTCGATTACTACTTCCTCGAGGACAAGGAGTTTGTTCTGTGCAAGAAAAGCGTAGGGATAGAGATTGTGCACGAGCTGCAGGATTTTATCAAGATCATGGATGACAGGATCTACCACTTCGAGGTGATACGCGCGAACATGCAGTTCTACATGGACAAGCACAAGAAGAGCTTTGTGTGGGCGGGTGGTGATTTTAAGACGTATATGGTGGTTTTTTACAGGGAAATTGAGTTTTTGGAGTTTATGTCGCTGTTTCTGGAGGCGTTGAAGAAGGAGAGCGGATTTGTGGGAGGTGACTATGGCGTGGTAGAGGGCGAAAGCAGGTTCACGGAGATCGAAAAAGATGCGTTTGATGAGGCAGAGGAGTACTCCTTCACACACGATCGCACAAGCGCTGTGGAGGAGCATAGCGAGAGCGTGAGCGAGGAGCAGGAGGAGGACAGGGCGAAGACCGGTGGTGATGGCGAGGAGTACAACAGCCTGTTGTACACGGACAAGGATATGGCATTTGTTGCGCGTGGCAACACCGTTGGCGTGTTCAGCACGGCTGACAAGCTCAGGTTCAACTGCTCGATAAAAAACGTGGAGGGAAAGAAGCGCAAGTTTCTAAAGAAGGACAATCAGCTGCTGTTCCTGGACGAGCACCGGAGGGACGTAAAGTTCTTGGATCTTGAGAAGGGAAAGGTGGTTGAGCGGATCGGCCTTGCACGTGATGTAAACGATGTGATGCTCAGGGACAGCGAGGTGCTCGGTATGAACGATAACAGCGTGTTTGTGGTGGACAGTCGTACGAAAGGCATAGGGCGGGATAACACGTACAAGACCAAGACGTACTTCACGAAGGGCAGCACGAGCGGCACGTTCAGCGCGATTGGCAGTGTGAAGGGCGATCTGCGCGTGTACAAGGATGTGTTCAAGCGCGCACGTATCCTGGTGTCCGGTCTTGGTGATGAGGTGGTTGGGATAGACATAGGCGAGGAGTACGTCATACTTACGTTTAAGAATTACCTGATCCTGTTCAAGATTGAGGAGCGCAAGGACAAGAGAAAGGTGGTCAGACTGCAGCTCAGGCCAGAGCACGTAGCGTTCCTGAAGCACAACGTGTCGTTTACGCCGGGCAAGTTCAACGAAAGCAACACGGACATAATCACGTCGACCGGCAACTACGTTGTGACATGGCGGGTGAGCGATGTGCTGGGCGGCAATTTGTATGCGTACAAAATGCGGGAGTACGGATCGGAGGTGGTTGATGACAGCTTTGTCGGTGAGGACCGGGTGCTGGTCACTTTGAAGGATGACCTGAAGATGTTGAACAAGAAGAACATAAAGTAGGGGAGGATGCCTTGGAGCATCGGTTGTAGAAGAGGACCGGAAGGGCCAGAAAAGGGAAATGAAAAAGGAAATGAAAAAGGAAATGAAAAGGGAAATGAAAAGGGAAATGAAAAGGGAAATGAAAGGGAAATTATAAAATTTGGGGTCGAAAACGTTAAAATATGCAAATACCGGACATGTTATAAATCCTATGGAAAAAAGCTCCTCCTGTAACCGGGCCTGTATTAGAACGGTCCATGCATCGAGCAATGCTTGCCTATGTGCACTGGTTTGGTTATCGATTTGCGCTTAAAACACTGCGTAAAGGTGTGCCGTGTCTTTTAGGACCAACCAGGTGATTGATCGTGCCGTTTGCGGTGAAACGAAAAATGCACAGAGCGTCTTACCGGTGATAAGCGAACGGTCCGATCACTCACCGTGTTTAGTTCCTGGGCTGTTCGACCGGCTCAGCTTCCGTGCTGTTATTGGTAGAGGCACTCTCTTCTCGTTGTGTAAGGTGCATTTTCCGTGTATGTCCACGGTAACGGCAACGTTCTTTTTCCTTTCTTGCCCGCTCTTTTTTTCATCTCTCCCTACCGATCATTTCTCATTATCACAATCAAAGCGCATTTCGTCTCCACGTCACACCAATTAACCGGCACCGATTCCGTTCTTTATCAACGTTTCAAACAAAACAACCCATTCCCCTTAAATTGATAGCAGACCACCACCACAGCATGTCAAGAAAGCACCTTCTGTTCATGGCCCTCATCCTGTCAGCAATTCTGTACACGACCATACACCTCCTGCCGATCCGCACGGTAACGAGCACAACAACACGTGCGAGCACGTACCCGTCCGGGCTGCTCATGCTGAGCGTGTACGCCACGCCCGTGCTGCTGTTCGCATGGCTCATCTACAAGAAAAAGCTGAACAGCACCGTGTTTACCGTGTACTACGCCGGTCTGCTGCTCACCGACACGCTTACGCATGCGATCAAACTTGTGGTGCGGGAGAAACGGCCGTATTGGCAGGAGGAGCGCCATGGGATAGAGTCCTTTCCATCGGGCCACAGCAGTGATATGTTCTATATGGCCGTGATGTGCATGAGCGAATGGATTGTTTGTACGGTGCTTTTTTATGCATGGGCGTTTGCTGTGAGCATTTCTAGGGTGGTGGATGGCAAGCATTTTGTGTGGGATGTGGTTGGTGGTGCTGTGCTGGGATGCGTGATAGGACTGGGGATGAAGAGGGTGTTTGGCTGTTTGTACGTTAAGTGAGGTAGGGCGTGCTTATTTTGCACTTGTAAAGAACTGTAACGGTACAAATACGGGTTGCTGCATAAAAAGGTGCCGTATGCCCTGCACGTCTTCTCCCTTGTACCACCTGCAGGTGGTACATCACAGCACCAGCCAGGAACGATTCGTTAATGCGTTGTACTTCAATTCGCGTGGAGAAGAACAAAATTAGAGGTGCAATCGTTTGATGCACCGTCTTCATCGCACAATCACAGTTCGTGGTGCGCAGCAGTAAATGGCGGTTTACCATAATTTTTATCAACCTTAGGTAGATTTTCTGTAAAACGTTCTTTTCTATTTGATTGGAAGAGCTTTACCTGTGAATTGATCAGAAGCATTAATTTTATTTTTCATATTTTATTATTATTCTATATCTTATATTAAATAATCCTCATTCCATACACGTATTCTTCTCATCTTCTCATTCCATACACGTATTCTCCTCATCTTCTCATTCCATACACGTATTCTCCTCATCTCCTCATTCCATACACGTATTCTCCTCATCTCCTCATTCCATACACGTATTCTCCTCATCTCCTCCTCATCTAATCAATCAAAATCAGCACATTCATACGCCCCATACACCAACAAAGGCAGCAGCACACTCGCCTCGCCTACCACACGCACACCATTCCCAAGCTCACACTCCCAGTCCGACCCGTCATACGCAGTCCGCATCGTAAGATGCACCACATCACTCATCCGCGCATGTGCCATTCTGTGCCTGACCGCTCCATCTCCCACAACCAGCCCTGTACACCCCTCAGCAACACCCAAAAAGTGGTGAAAGTCCCTCACCACATCAATCCTGAACCGCATACCACCACCAAACGTACAAACATCACCGATAGACCCATCGCCAAGCGCACACACAAACACAGGCACCTTCATACGCTTCGCACACGCAACAAAGCTGCGATCATCATCGGGCGCTATCGCATCCACAAACTCGGCGGTGCTCATCGTGCCCTCCATGTGCACCAGCCTGTCACGCAGATACGCCTCAAACCATACGTACGAGTCGTTGTGCACCGCCAGGTTGCCAATCCTGTTGTAGCCGTTTGCGCGCAGCTCGTGGCCGGCGTGTGCGTGGTAGTCGGTCACGTAGAAATCATTGGCCGTTTTTATAATGTCCTCCTCGATTGCACCCGTAGTTGTCACCACGGCTTTGCAGTACGGTATGAGGTAGCGTATCGTGTCGCGCAGGCCGCACGATATGATGTTGGACGTGAATGCCAGTATTATGCCCTGCTTGGCCGCCTTGAGCGTTTTTACGGCACGGTACATGTTTATGGACTGGTAACCGAGCGAGCGGAACGATGAGAGCAGATTTGGAAGTGTGAGGTGGGGAATTGCAGGCCCTGCCACTTTGTGTGTCAGGCTCAGGGTGTGTTTGTGCTGCGCAGCGAACTCTTTTACGCTTCTCTTCTGTTTTACCTGCTTTTGCATTGTTTTTTGGGGTGTGACATGGGGATGGATGGGAAGAGCGTAAAAATGAGCATGACTGGGTGTGAAGAGCGTAAAAATGAGCATGACTGGGTGTGAAGAGCGTAAAAATGAGCATGACTGGGTGTGAAGGAGCAATGATGAAGGAGTGCTTAGGAAGTATCCAACCATTGTTGCCTTTGCCTGCTATGATATGAGTGCTAATTCTAAAAATGAGGATAACATTTTTATAACTGTTCGTATTGCGAACGGTCTGTACACGTGGTGTACCTCAGGCAAAGCTACGCACCTTCTATTCATTACCTTCTATTTTTACAGAAAATACGATCACTCAACCGATCAATTCCCAGGAAATCACAATGCTTGAGCAAATTTGCAAATTACAGATTGGCTCAAACGCTCGAAATAAACCAAAAAGTGTTTTTGGTCTATTCGTGCTGAGCGGCGCATTTAATTTGATTTTTGCAAATCGAACCCTTCATGCTGGGCAGCGCATCAAACCAAAACGGTGAACCCTTCAACTTCAAAGAATTCTGTGCAGAGGTGCTGAAGAAGCGCGTAACAAAGACAGGCACAACCATAGTGGGCATAAAATCGGAGCAGGGCGTCATACTGTGCGCAGACACGCGCGCAACATCCGGTCCATTCGTTGCCGATAAGTCGTGTTTCAAGCTGCACCGCATATCAGACGACATATACTGTGCGGGTGCCGGCACGGCAGCCGATACGTACAGGGTGACCGAGTACGCGTCATCGATGGTGCGCATCTTTGAGACGAAATACGCCAAGAAGGCGCCCGTGAAGTACGTCGTGTCGGTCATTTCCAAGTACCTGTTCCAGTACGGCGGGTTCATATCGGCTGCGCTTATCATTGCCGGTCGGCACAGGAGCACGTACCACTTGTACTCTGTGTCACCCGATGGAACGGTCAACCCCGGCTTTTATCTGTCGATGGGATCGGGCGGGCTGGCAGCGGTGAGCGTGCTTGAGGCACGGTACAGGAGCGGCATGGACATGGAGGAGATTAAGGCGCTTGGTGCGGATGCAGTCAAGGCGGGTATCATGAACGATTTGTACAGCGGGTCGAATGTTGATTGCGTGGTTATTGATGGTGCTGGCACGAACGTGGTGAGGAACTTTCTGAGGGTGGCGAATACGATGGAGGGTAAACGCATTGTTTATGCGTTGGATTCGGTGAAGATAAAGAAAGAGGAGGTGTTTGAGCTGGTTGAAGAGATTGTTGAGTAAAATTCTTGGTTGTTTATGCGGTATTTTATAGAAATGCAGGTGTAGCATTGCGCGATAGAACATTTCCTCTCCCTACTTTTTCTCCCAAAAGTTTCTCTCCCAAGTATTTCTCTCCCTAATTCCCCTCCAAATCCCTACCTCAAAATATTCCTCTCCAAATCCCTGCCCTAAATATTCCCCTCCAAATCCCTACCTCAAAATATTCCCCTCCCTAATCCCTGCCCTAAAACCTAATCCCTTATCCCATCCAAATATTAAACCCTAGTTTTATACCCCACCCCACATGCACACATTTCTCATACTCGCATGCACAATCGTTCCCTTACTCGTGCTCACGCTCCTCATCAAATCGCTCTTCAAACTGCTCCAGCCAATAAAAACAAACAAGCAGTTCGCACTAAACCGTACGATACGTGCAATTGTTACGAAGGTGTGTGACGGTGATACCGTGAGAGTGCGCCATTGCACACTGTTCAGCCGCTCACGCACCGCCAAGCACACCTTTCTTGTGCGTTTGTACGGCGTGGATGCACCTGAGTGTGCACATTTTGGCATGCCGGCGCAGCCGTACTCAAAGGAGTCTACCGATTTGTTGAAGAAGTACGTGATGGGCAAGAGTGTGCGTGTCACCAAGCTTGGCACCGATAGGTACAAGCGATGCATTGGGCGTGTTGTGGTTGATGGTGTTGATGTGTCTGTTGCGATGGTTAAGAAGGGCATGGCGTGCGTGTACGTGGGACACAATGCTATCTACGGGGGACTGCACGATTTGCTGGTGCGCTACGAGAAGCGGGCAAGGAAACGGGCACTTGGGATGTGGAAGGATGGAGTGGAGCTGCCCATGGACTATAAGAGGAGAATGAAGGGCAGGAAAACGAAGAGGAGAGCAGAGCTGTAGGGCTGTGCACTGGTATGAATGGGTAAGATGCGGTGTTCTACGGTGTAGCGCAATATTTTTATGTCACGCGGTGAACACAGCGTGGTGAAGCTGAAACGTGGAGTGACCGATCAAGGAACGAATGCACGTGCAAGCCGTAGCTGAGGCAACCGTACGAGCACGTTGCAGCACCTGCCATCAAAATTATGGGCAGGTGGTGCAATGCTGTGAGGTGCAGCTGAGTTGGTAAATAAATATATTTTACGGTACGTGATAGAAATATGGGCCGGTCCGCTCTGCAAAACTTGAAATTAACAGCACTGAGCTGCAAAGACAGGAGCAGCCACGGCAAGAGGAGCACGCCCAGCTCACACAATACCAGCGCCATGCTCGGCACGGTCCTGATCTTGAACGGTTCAGAACAAATGCTGGTGTACGGCCAGTCATAAAGAACCGTTCCATGAAAGCGTTGCACTCAGGTGCCAAGGACATCGGCCAACGCACTGCAACACCTCTGCGTTAGCAGCGTGCACATCGCTACGCCCCAATTCTTGAGCTGCCCTCTACCACAGTCAAACTCGGTCGTGCACGGTGCAGATCAAATTCAATTTCCTACGCAATCACCTGAGCAGTAGCACAACGTGAGAGGTGAACAATTAACGGTACGTGTGTAGCGCTGCACTACTACGTCATTGTGAGCACTTCCTACCGTTCATTTCCACTGCTGCTACCGTTTTCAGCACCCGCCTCATCACCAAGATACGATGGAAAGGTGCCGCTCTCAAAAAAGGTAAAATACGGAAAGGTACGAAAACGAAATAAGAACTGCTACCACGTACGGTATGTGCAGGAATTGTGTTTAATTTTTATTTTTGGAGTATTTGAAATGAAAAGGTAGCAGTGAAGTATAAAAGGAGGAATGTGATTGGTTGGAAGAATGATGGATGGGAGCACCACCAAATATTACCAAAATGCTGACTATGCGGGAGCATGGCGTGTAAATTGGTGGGTGCGGTGCACGTAAATTGGCGGGTGCATGGCGTGTAAATTGGTGGGTGCATGGCGTGTAAATTGGTGGGTGCATGGCGTGTAAATTGGTGGGTGCGGTGCACGTAAATTGGCGGGAGCATGGCGTGTAAATTGGCGGGAGCATGGCAACGCTGCTAATGCGTGGCAGTACCGCTCGGTACTCCTTAACCACTAATCAAACACTAATCGCTAATTTACCATGTTGCGCCAGCAATGAGCTGCTGAACACGCTCGTACCGCTCATGTAGTATTTTCTAAATACCTGCATTTCCTTAAACACGGCGTGTTACCGCTTTGGATATTTGCTGCGCTTTTCGTATGGAAGTGCGCCAAGGACCGGAGAAGGCTCCTTGATGAGAGCGGTGCGGTGCTGCCGGTGTGCAAGCGCTTTGCAACCAAAAAAGAAAATTGCCGCATTTATTGGTGCTCTGCTCCTTTCATGCAAATTATGCTTAAAAGGTTGTAATCTGCCATGGTGGGGCATTGGGCGTGGTACGACCGGTGCTCAAGTGCTGAGAGCATGGCTGGTGATTGATGATCAGAAATGCTTTTGATGGTCATTTATCGTACATTTTGATCTGCCATGCTGTAAAATGCTACTACCGTAACGGCACCGCATCGCTGTTCTCGTTTCACGCGCAGTACCGCACGCTCACCGTGCCCGTGCATCACCACAAAATCACGATTTACCATAAAAAGACAATCAGAAAATATAAAAGAAAGCGATGGCTGACTCCCAATGTCAAAACAATGCACAAAGCTACGCGAGGTGGGCTACTGCATCGCAGTGCCTCTTCCCCAACAGTACGACCACCAGCTGCGCACAGACCGTGACATTCGCAACGCGCTCGACACGCATCCCACGGTGGTGATAAACGCGCACGTCACAAAGGTAAGCGACGGTGACACGTACCATTGCTACCATCTGTTTGAGGACGAGACGGAGGGCAAGCTTAAGATACGCGTGCTCGGCATCGACACGCCAGAGCGGAAGAACAACCAGTGGGACGGCCAACCGCTCGCTGAGGAGGCTACAACGGCACTTTCTGACATGATCTACCAGAAGGATGTTGTTCTCGAGGTGCTGGGCCTTGATAAGTACAGAAGGCTGCTCGGGCTGACGTATTTTGAGGATGAGAACGGGCTGTGGAGGTGTGTTGGTCTGGAGATGCTGAAATTGGGCATGGCAACCGTTTATAGGAGCGACAAGAAGGAGGGAACGGGGATGGAGTGCCTGTTGGACATGTTTGAGGAGGAGGCGAGGAGTAAAGGGCTCGGTGTGTGGGGACGCGAGGATTACGAGGCACCTAGGGAGTACCGTGCACGTATGAGAAGGAAGTAAAGGTTCGTTTGGTCCGAGTTTACGTGTTTTGAACTGTGTTTTATTTTTGAGGTGGCATAGCTTGTGCTGTGGACCGGTGCTACCACTCATACGGTAAAGACCAGCATAAAAAATGATTGGTCAGTTTGTGCGTAGCGGTGCTCTCCTAAAAATACCAAATATTAATTTTGCTCTACGCCCATCAAAGGTTAACGTGAGCAGTTCATTTTCTTGGACATGTTCAATCAGCACGATATCAGTGCTTATCAAATAAAAATTAGCATTTAATCTCACCAAGCTCAAAACACGGTACGGTAAAAGACGGGAATAGCATAAAAATGCACTTCGTTCCACGGGACAGAACAATAAAAATATAAATTATTTACCAGGATGGCACCGTAAAGACCATGTACGGTGCACAAGCGATGTGTTGTGCATGGATGGACAGTTCGTGAGTAACGCGTTTAACGGTACGAACGGTTTTATCGTGGTTGGTACGGCACCCTTCAGATGAAGGAGATTTCCTTGAAGTACCACAGGATAGAAATACCGTTAGAGGATGGAATGGATGAGTGCAGGGTGGAACAACTCATTAAGAGGATGAAGAACGGCACGGTAGTAAGGATTAAGAGACGTGGCATTGAAAGGAATAGTGGAAATGAGGAGGAGAATGAGGAGAAGAATGAGGAGAAGAATGAGAAAAGGAATGAGGAGAAGAATGAGGAGAAGAATGAGGAGAAGAATGAGGAGAAGAATGAAGAGGAGAATGAGGAGGAGAATGAGGAGGAGAATGAGGAGGAGAATGAGGAGGAGAATGAGGAGGAGAATGAGGAGGAGAATGAGGAGGAGAATGAAGAGGAGAATGAGGAGAGCAATGAGGAGGAGATGAGAAGAATACGTGTATGGAATGAGGAGAGGAATGAGAAAAATAACCAAAAATACGATAAAAGCACAAGCAAGGCGAACTGCACAGACACTCTTCTGTCCATCAACTCGGTCTGCACAATTCTATCAGCGCACAACCTTGAACTGGCACAGCACTGCACAAGTGCACTCAGCACAACGTGGCGTAAATGCTACCACCTCAGATTTGCAGCTTCTCCACGGTTTACACCCGGTGATACGCTTTCACTGTACGTGCCCTATCCCCTGCATTACATACGCTCATTTATGCGTGCTGTGGGGTTGAACGATGACCTGGTGGTGGTGGAGAGCGGGCAGTTGAGGTACGAAGGTACGGTAAGTGTGCTGCTGTGCTATTTCATGCCTGTGATCGTGAAGAAGATGCATTTGCTGGTGCTGTACAGGGGATTGGATGGTGAATGGGATGCGTGCTGTGGTGCACGCACAAAGGGTTGTGAGTGCGATGCTTGCACCAACCGTGTCGGTACCGCCGTGGTAAAACGTAAATTGCGCTATCTCATCAAGCACTACCAGCGTTTGCCGCCCATAACATTTCCTGATCTGATTCTCAACGTAGGGGTGAAGGGCACCGCCATTCTCAGGTGCTGCTCTGTGGGTGAGCTGAGGAACTTCAGTCTTATCAATGAGGTGGGCAGGGATGCAGAGATCATCGTGGGGCTGAGAGAGGACGTGCTCATGAATAATTGTGTGCTGGTGGTTGGTGGTGGCAGTGCGAGCACGGAAGGGTCTGGTGCTGAGCACGATGGGGACGGTAAGCATGGTGGCAGGGTTGGTAGCGGTGCCGCTACTACCGCAAATCTTGCCAATCATCCTACGGTCAACGCCAATAACACGTACCACACCGCACCCTGCCCAAGATACGGCAAAGCATCAACGTACATCCACACCAACACTCCTCTGCCATTGTTCATCAACGTACGTAAAAACCTTCTGCTCACGTACAAACCCTCAAAGAGAATGGTGATGATAGCCACCGGTACGGGAGTGACACCGTTCCTTTCTTTCATAAGGAATAGCACGTGTGAACGTATGCTGATGGTTTATGGGTTTAGGGATGTTGAGGATGATATTGTTGGTGAGTGTGGGGATGTACTGTGGTATAAGGAGGGGTTGGTTATGTGGTGTGAAGAGGGCGGTAATGAGAGGGGTGAAGAGAGGGGTGAAGAGAGGGGTGGAGAGAGGGATGAAGAGAAGGGTGAAGAAGAAGATAAGAACGAGAGGGGTGAAGATAAGAACGAGAGGGGTGAAGAACAAACATGCAATCAAACAAAGAATGTTGCCCATGGTAAGCGTGGCAGTGCACGGAACACAAACATTTACAGCAAAAACACCGGCAACAGAAGAAGCACCCATCCGTGCACCCGTAACGTGAACATCAGCACATCACACGCACCTAAACATTTGCATGGTGCCTTATCGGTGGTAAAAGTGCAATCAAAGCACCTGTACGTTCAGTCCTTTCTCAACAACCTGCTGCTCAGGGATGGCGATGACCTGCTGTTCTACATCTGTGGTAACATAGACATGCAGAAAAGTGTTTATGAGCTCATCAAGAGAAGATGGGTGCATGCTGCGCTGGAGAGAAGGGTATTTTTTGATAATTGGGATTGATGAGCGGTGTGTGGATAATCGGAGGTGGCCTTGCTGGGCGTGAAGGGGCGTGAAATACGAAAAGGGCGCTTTCAGTAAAAAGTGCATTTGCGAGTTGCGGCTCGGGCGGTGCGGTGCACGTTCATGCTCGGTATTGCAGCTCAGTGCGTGGTGCTGGCAGTGCTTCGATTGTTCGTTCTAAATTATTTTATTCGTTGCCTTGCCCACCAAATCACTCAGGAACACATTCTTGGTGCACTGGCCCTGCTCCTCCATGCTAACACCAAATAGCGCAGCATCCCAAGGCCAAGCATTTTTGCATCTGACCGCTTTATTTATCATCGGTACGCTGTTAGCGCATGTTTCGTTCTTCTGCGCTC